AGTACCTCTACTACACACACGATATGTGTTCTTTTATCATTAGTACCTCTACTATACACGATATTGTGTTCTTTTATAATTAGTACCTCTACTATACACGATATTGTGTTCTTTTATCATTAGTATTTCTATATACACACGATATTGTGTTATTTTATCATTAGTACCTCTACTATACACAATACTAATGATAAAGAACACAATATCGTGTATAGTAGAGGTACTAATGATAAAAGAACACAATATCGTGTCCTCTACTATACACCATATTGTGTTCGTTTATCATTAGTACCTCTACTATACACGATATTGTGTTCTTTTATCATTAGTACCTCTACTTTCCCTTTCCTCTTTTTAGTTATAAACCTTTAGAAAAAAATAGGTTTTTTACGTGTTTTAGAAAGAGCAACCAAATACTGTTGTGTTCCTAATAATAGTGCAGGGTGGAAAAATTATCCAAGATTAATAATTCTACAGATACAATTATTTGGAACATGAGAGTACGTTGATGGTAGTAAATAACTGGTGTTTTGTTTTTGTCATTGTTCAAACTTTATCTTACAAATAATCTTCACTGTATTAACTTAGTAGTACGCTACTATAAAGGAGTGATGTATGTTTTTTCTAAAGATGTTCCTTTTTAAAAACAAACAAACTGTGGAATAATAAAAAGATAGTAATTACAAACCAATATCTGAGGTTTCAACAATCTTCTGTTATATCTTTTTTTAACCAGTAACTTACCTGCTTTCTCTTCCGGCTTTGTGTGCGTTCAAATCTGGCTTTAACATCTTCCAAATGTTGTTGAAGTTTCTCTTTTTCTTCCTCGTCATTGGATAACATTACATAAGCTCGCCAATTAGAAGAATCAAAGCCCCAGTGGCATGTGCGATTTTCTTTTGAATGGTGTGCGTGGCAAACAAAGACCTCTGGATTCATAGCTCCATAGCATTCCGTGCACTCAATGCACTTTGCATAAGGTGTTGTGTAGAGGTCAGGAACAAGCACTCCTATACATTTTCCGAAACACCGGTGTGCAACACGGAATTTTAACAAATGTTTTCCGCGTATTTCGGAATTTGGTAAAACCGTGTAAAGCAAAGTTGCACACAACCTCTCGGCATCACTTTTTGTGATGAGACCACAACTTGGGGCACTAAGAGGCAAAACGCCTGTAACTTTGAGAACCTCTAGCTGTTCTGGAGTGCAGCGAGAACAGAAAATGTGCAGTTCGTCACAAACACTGTTGATTTGTTGTAAACTAAAATCCTTGAGAACAGTGTTCAAGATCTGCGGCAAACAGAGTCGCTTCTCGCCTCCAATACTGAAGCAAGAAATGGTTTCTTCTTTTAAACTAGTTTCAGATCTCTCACAACGACTGCGGTCTGGTGGTGTGAAAATCGGCGGCAACTGAATGGGGAAAGGCGGAGGCATCAAAAAAGGGTCATAATCAGTTCCAGACGTTTCATTTGGATCTTCTGATTCAGATCGTACAACAACAGGAGAAACCGCCACTCTATTTTCCGAAAGATTTCCTACGATTGATTTCTCTTTCGGATGTACCGTCGTACATCCGATCTTCTCCGCGGTCTCTTCAGTGTTCCACGTAGCCATGAACGTGTTAGGCCCCTGCAAGCTAGCCAGTGCAGCTTCCTGATAACTTTTCAAAACCCGCTTCAAGTGTGGGGTATAAACTTTGGTAGAAGGTTCTTCCATGTTGTTTACTTAGTGTTTAATCTAGTTTACAAAATTATTAATCACATGAAAATAAACTCCTCCTTTACTTTACACTGTAAAATTCCGAACTCGACACACAGTAGTGCCATGCTCGTTGTGCAGCGAACGTGTGGCTGGACGCGTTTCCCCTCTCAATCAGTTCATGCAGACTAAAGTACCTTCTGCTTCCCGGTGATCTGCAAGTACTGTACGACACACGTCAGCGTTGAAAAGTCCAATCTTAAGCGTGCTTTCTAGTAGTTTTACTGCTCATTAATAGAAGAGCGAGCAATGGAAGTTTTGTCTAGAAACAGTTTGTGTGTCTGTGTGTGCCATTTGTATGTTTCTTGTTAGACTTATCGCTTCAGAATACGTGCGCACTCGTTCCTTTTCAACCTGTACCCTATACATTCTCTTTATCACAGGTAACGTCATGTCACGTGATTTAGTGAAACAACAAACCAGCCAACTTATTACGATAAAAACAACTTGTTTGCAGCGAAAGAAGATGAGGCGGTAAAGGCTTAGAACAAAGAAAGGAAAGGTTCTGAATATTTATCAGGATACGAAAAAAACATTCAGAAAATAACGTTCTTAATCAAGTAACTAACATTAAATTAATTTGAGTAGCTAACAAAAAATAATTAAGTTTGTTCTGATGGAACTGACTTATGTACAAGAAATATATTTACCTCGTGACATACGGAGCTATATAAATTAGTTTTATCCATCTATCTTTTGTATGTTTGTCTAATTAAAAACAAGCAAACATTAATGTCTGGTTGAAAGTTGCTACTTGAAATTGTTTTATTATTATTTATTTTACTGTTCTTGTTGTTCGTTTTAGAGCAAAGCCACATTATGCTATCTGCTGTGTCCATCGCAGGAAATCGAACCCCGGATTTTAGCGTTGTAAACGCACCGCCGACTAACCAGGGAACTTTCATTGTACTAAATACACGTAAAATAGTATAAAATAATGTAAAATGTCGAAAGTGTTTCATTCAAATAACTCAGGAATGATCGAGTTATTATGCCAGTGTACATGTACTTATGAAGCACAGGTTCGTGTGCTCTTAAAATGTTCCAACGAACTTCAGTGTTACAACACTTTTATTCATTTGAACAAAATCTATGGATTTTGATTTTTTCTTCGAGTAAGTTTACTTACTGACAGTCTGGTTATGTATATAACAAATCATATTTTAAGTAAGTTGACTTACTAACAGTCTGGTTATGTATATAATAAATCATATTTTAAGTAAGTTTACTTACTGACAGTCTGGTTATGTATATAACAAATCATATTTTAAGTAAGTCTGGTTATGTATGTAATAAATCATATTTTAAGTAAGTTTACTTACTAACAGTCTGGTTATATATAATAAATCATATTTTAAGTAAGTTTACTTACTAACAGTCTGGTCATGTATATAATAAATTATATTTTGAGTAAGTTTACTTACTAACAGTCTGGTTATGTATATAATAAATCATATTTTTATGTGAATAGTCTTCATTTGAATGTATTACATCAATTTTCCCCTCTATAGATATTTTTCTTGTAACAGATAAAGCTGGATGAAACCATTGCTTATTATATGGTATAACAAAAAATGTTCGACACTTTTCCACGTCAAAACCCTCATTTATTAACATTGTTAAAACTTAATTTAAGGGGATCGTTTGAAAATTTCCAAAGAATATTTAGAGTGCTCTTCTTTGCTGATCACCAAATACCAGAAAACGCGTAACATCCTTTCTGTTGACTGATACACTATGTCAATATGATGGAATGAAACGTTTTAAACTCTTAACGTAGGTAAACGTGCTTTTAAGCTTTAAAAACTCAAATATTGTTTAAACTAAAATGAAACACTCAATGTTAAACTAAAATACACATTATTAAAGCTAAAATAAAACGCACATTCTCAGAAACACAAATTGATGAACTAAAATATAAGATTCTTTAAGTAGAAATAAAACGCGCGGTGTTCGAATTAAAAAATAAAGTGTATATATATATATATATAGTCTTACTACCAAAATAAAACTCAACTTTGAAATAGTGTATATATACAGTATTAGAGAAAAGTAAAATACACGATATTGAAACTAAAAGAAAGTATATGGCGTTGGGATTAAAACAAGATGCGCAGTGTCAGAACTAAAACCAAACACACGTTCTTGAAATATAATGAACTATGCGTTGTAATAATTAAAATTAAACACTCAAGACATAATACATGCGTTGTTAAAGCTTAAGTAAAACGAAACATATAAGACCTAACATAAAGTTTACTCAGATAAAATACTCAGTGTTAAATTAAAATAAAAGATTCGGTACTAGACCTAAAATACATTTCATACTCTTAGGTCAAAAATGAAATAGCCCACATTAGAACAGAAACAAAACACACAGTGCTTGAGATAAAGTAAAACACGGAGTTTTACAGCTAAAATAAAACGCACTTGAATTATTGAGTTTCTAGTCCTAAATAATGACTTGCTATAAACAGATAAAGGTCACGAGATTAATTTGGGAGTAAGATATAATAAAGAGGTTAAGGTAAAAAATAATTTCTGTGCACAAGGGCTACCTGCGCTAGCCATTCCTAATTTCGATCTGATAGACTATAGGGAAGGCAGCTAGTCAGCAGCACCCAAGCTGATTTTTCCAAGCCGGTTCCCATGGCTGTGGTTTCGCTAGGTAGTAGACAGGTAGATTCTTTAATCGTATAGCGGAATATAAACAGTCACTCTTTAACGATTGATTTTTGTTCTTAATTTTTCAAACAAAGAGCCACCTAATGCCACAGCAGTAATAACGCTATAACGTTAAAAACGTATAACGCTAAAAATCAGGTTTCGATACCCGTGGTGGCCACAGTATGGGTGGATCATCGAGTAGCTTTGTGCTTAACAGAGAATCAAGCAAAGAGTTAGATTTTTAAACTTTTGTAATTTCTTATAACATCTGAATAAAATAATACAATATAAAGCTTTTACTATTATAAGAATCTTCGGGTAACTTACAAATAAATTTGAATGAAATGCAAACTCAATCCATGAGGACAACTGAATTCCGATCTCTACCAGCCAGATACTTCTTGTTTTCGTTTCGGCCCGGCATGGCCAGGTGGATAGGGCGTTTGACTCGCAATCTGAGGGTCGACGGTTCGAATCCCCGTCCCACCAAACATGATCGTCCTTTACCCTGTGTGTGTGTTGGGGGGGGGCGTTATAATGTGACGGTCAATCCCACTATTCGTTGCTAAAAGAGTAGTCCAAGAGTTGGCGGTGTGTGGTGATGAGTTGCCTTCCCTCTTGTCTTTCACTGCTAAATTAGGGACAGCTAGCGCAGATAGCCCTCGTATAGCTTTGCGCAGAATTCAAAACAAACCAAACTTCTTTTCCGACTTTACTAGTCCAGGGGCTGTTTCATACCTTACTTACAAACTAAGAACGCTTAATTATACTGTCAATACTCATCCCTACTTAGAACTAGGGTGTTGAAATGAAAAATTCCATTTCCAACTGAAGTATGTCAAGGACTATCTATAGCTGGCAACCTGATAATGAAAACAGCGTCAGCGACGTTTAACTTCTAATGTTTAACAGATACCTGCTGTAAAACAGAATGCTAATGTTCCTTTTGTTTTTGCAACAAATAATAACTGGACCAAGGATTTACATTTCCTCATACGTATAATTTTTTACTAACATGCGGGATATTCTGAAGAGTACTGGGGCCTTACATGACTTTTGTCTGTTTGGATTACCAGATATTAACAGAATTACACCACCTTCAACCCTGGCCTACTCTGATTAGTAATCATTGAAAATGCACGTCTTGCCTCAAACACTCGCCCATGAAACGTCTTCTTTTACACTATGCAGACCTCGATCATGTGACTCTGAAGAAAAGCTACGATCTATGTTTTCCACATTAAGAAAGAACCGTCACATTTAATCTGCAGATAGGATTCAGTAGTGTGGTATTCCCAGGTGCACTGACAGGGGTGGATGCAGAACTGTGGTAAGGGACGGGGTGGTTATTTTACCACACCATGAAATCCTTTGAAAAAAAAAAAAAACTCGTTTTCTTTATTAAATCTAAGGATAGCTTTGTTTTGGGAATCAACCCCCATCCTCTTTAAATCTGCCAATGATTGACAACCTTAGAGATATCATAGTAGCCCCAGTAGCTTGAGACAAGTTATAAACGTATCACGTAGTTAAACTACATTTTTCTAACTCTTTCTGATTTTAAAGCAAGACAGACTAATCACAGAGTAACAAAAAGTGAAAAGTAATCTTTATTTCAAACAAACCTTAATCAAATTGACAAGTACACTGGTCACAACAACAGGTATACTGGAGATTATCTGTTCTGGCTCTAGACTCTTACTTCTAAACCAAAATCTACATCTGATCAAGACTAAGAGAGCAAAATATTATATTAAAAAAAAACTCTGTAGAGCCGTCCTTCTAAGTACACATGTGCTAACACGTCACTGTTGGTCATTCTTATAGAAGATAAAGTGGACACATCATTGAGGCATTATCTGACCTGTCAATAGAAAAGATCCACTATTCATCATTATATAATGTTCTAATATAAAACAATCTTTCCCATGAGAAAGTGCATGTGACGCCAAAGGAGAATGATCCAAGAACAACAGGTACTACAACAAAAGTAATTTAGCCACATTCCATTATTAATGTGTATGTGGAAGAAAGTTTGAAAACTCTAAATGAACGTGAAACTCTCACCTTACTAAACCGAAGGAGACAGGAAACATTAAATATGTTTTACATACTACAATAGCTTTCATTTTCTCATATCAAATTAGTAATGGTTTCTGTGTGGACTAAACACAGCACTAGAATCTATACGGTCATTGCTAAGTTAAATATTGTTAGTTCATAATGAAGAGAATCCGTTTTCTTAATACACAGAACATGCCACTATTAATGAACTATGTTGATATATAGATAACCTTTATTTTATAGATATTTTGGATTGTGATGTTCTTAAGTAAAACTGAAATCGACAGATATGTAATAAGTATGCAAAAGCAGACGTTCGGAAAGACTT